TGGATGTGTACCCGAGGTAGGGGCGTGGCTCCCCTGATCGGCCTCACTGTTACTCGATCTCACCGCCACGTATCTCGAGTCTCGCACATGTCGTTCAGCCGCAAGACGTCTCAAAGGGATGAGGGAGACCTCAGCCGCCGTTACAGCACGGCATCGAACTTGAATAAGTGATGCGGCATCGTCGGGGGCAGGAGGGTTCACGTCATCCACAGTGTCGGGAAAGGGTGGGTGGTCCAGAGCTTGCGGTGGTGGAGGCCCTTCTGGTGCGGCCGTTGCCGATGAAACCACCGTGCTGCCACCTGCCAGTAGGGTACGTTGATGTATGATATTGGCCATTGAGGCGCCAAAGGCACGATGGGCTTCGATGAGCCTTGTACCTGCATGTACTCCCTCCTGCTCATGTATGTAATGAGCCTGCGCCAGTGGGAGTCGTGCCTCTCGTAGCTGTAGTAGGAGTTGCTTCGCCTCTGTATACCAAGCGTCAGGGTTCGCCAGATGCGTGGCTAGGGCCAACAATACTTGCGCATTGTGGTCAGCAGCGTCACGCCAGGCGGTCTTGCAGTAGGCGACGGCCATGTCGTGTATGGCAGCCTCAGTTGGCGCCAACTCCCGAATCTGAGGTATGAGCCTGATCATGAGCTCGGCGCATGGTACACACCACCATGTCCAGTCATCATGCGCCATAGCGATATCTTGCCAAGGTGTCGTGTCCGCACTCCACCGCTCAGCGTAGGCGCTGAGATGCGTACGGAAAATCTGGGATGCGTCGGTCGGACATTGTAGAAGAAAGGTGTCCACGAGTGAGCGCCGCTGCAAGCCGTGATAATTGACGGAGTCGCCATCCGCCTGAACAGCCAAAACTGCAGGGTCACCGCTCGGGGTCATTACCATGTGCGAGGGCGTGGACACGGGCACCAACGAGCCGTTGTCCAGGCCATACGTGTAGGATCTGTCCACCATCAGATCACGTATCTGGAGTGCTGGTAGGCTGGCTGCGAGCATCTCGTTGTGCGTCTGTGCCTTCCAAGTCTTGGTCGACTGCTGCGTCCCAAGGGTGGGCACCGCCTGAGTGCACACTGCCAGGAGTACGAGGCATGATAACCTCCATGGGGGCGCCGAGGACAGGGGCAGCGTCAATAGGTTCTGCACGCTGCTTTGCTCCTGAGCCACTGGGGGCGACAGCACGCCTGTGCAAAACAAAGGCACGCTGGAGCTCCACGAGGTGCGTGCTGAGCGACTGGAGGAGCGTGTCTGGGTTGCCAGCGGCCATGGCGCGTGGTGCCGCGGCGACGACGCCCTGCAGGCGGCCCATGGCCTCCTCCAGGTTGCCAACCGTTGAGTCACCTGGCGAGGTTGCCATGATGGCTGCACGCGCCGTGGCAACCTCTGCTTGAATGGCGGCCAGCTCCGCGGCGGCCGTGGTGAGCTCCATCTGCTTCGCTGTGAGCTGCTCCTGCAGCGCGTCGACCTGCGTCTTGAGGTCATTGTGTTCTCGAAGCTTCGATGCTTGGCGGTCCAGAGCACGGCGAAGCATGTCATCGGGAGTCCGAGCAGCACGTTCCCGTTCTTCTGCGCCTGCCAGCTGCTTCTTGGCAGAGACCACAACCTCGGAGTCCTCTGGGAGCTGCAGTCGGCGTAGAACGGCGGGAGCCTTTCGTGCACGGGCGACATCGTCATGCTCGCCTTGGCCTCCTGTGGAGGTGCTCTCGGCGTCCTGAGGCGGACCGCTGCTGGGGGCTCCGCGCGACTGCCTGCTGCCCGACTGGGCGCGTCGCTTGGCACCAGGCGGTTCGGCGCCAGACGGGTCAGGCCACCCCAGCTTGTCCCTGCCGCACATGTAGCAGCGCTCGTTCTGCTGGAAGTTAGTGCGAAACCCGCACTGGCGACTAGCAGCACAAGCCCATGTGCCAGCAGGCGCGCCAGAGCCCGCTGTGCCACGGCCCTCCTGGGGACCACGGCTGCGGCCTCGGCCTGCTTTGCCCATGGCAGGGGGCCTGGAGCCGTGGTGTCGCGTGAGGGCGTCGTGGTCGGCAGCTAGCCGCAAGCGGCGGCGTGCCGATGCACGAATGCGTCTGAGACGTCTGTGCCACGCTGGGAAGCGGGACCGCGATGGGTCGCCCCCCGTGGCGAGGGGGATGGTTGGCCTCTGGGCTGCGCGCCAGGGCCTCTGCTGAGTGCAGCCGCCTCGCGAGCGCAGGCTCGCGGCAGCCACGTCGCGCCAGGCAGCGCCTGGGGCTGGGGGCTCCCTATTGCACGGGCCCCGCGCCCCCCGCGGGCAAAAAGGCTGCGGGGGGAGGGGGGGGGGCCACGCAGGGAGCCACCTTGAGCCAAAATGGCTACGGAGGAGGAGGAGGAGGAGAAGGAGGAGGAGGAGGAGGGAGGAGGAGGAAAAGGAGGGAGGCCAGAAAGTTCGAGGCGCACCCAGCGGTGGCCACGAGGGCGCCCCAGGACGAGCAGACAGAAACACAGCACAGCGACCTCCGATATCCTCCGATGCTCGACCCGCGGGCGGCCCGGAGGGGCGCCGCGCCGACCTCCGACTGGGCGGCCCGCGACGCCGTCGCCGTGGCCGTCGCCGTCGCCGTCGCCGTCGCCGCCGCCGTCGTCGTCGCCGTCGCCGTCGCCGTCGTCGCCGTCGTCGCCGTCGCCGTCGTCGCCGTCGTCGCCGTCGCCGTCGTCGTCGTCGTCGTCGTCGCCGTCGTCGTCGTTCGTCGTCGCTCGTCCTCGTCTGCGGCGGCGGCGGCAGCGGGCGAGGCGCCGGGCGCGCCGGCCTCCGACTCGGCGGCCGGCGGCGGCGACGGCGCCGGGCTGGACGGCGAGGGCGCCGGGCTGCCGCTGCGGCCGCTGGGCCGGCGGCTGCCGCTGCGGACTGGCGGGGGCGGCCCTCGGCGCCGGGCGAGGGGCGAGTCCGCAGCGCGTCGACCTCCACGCAGGGCGCTCGGGCCTTTGGCCCTGCGGGCCTTAGGGGGGGAGGAGGGGGAGGTGGGGGGGAGAGGAGGGGGGGAGGGGGGGGGAGGGGAATGGGAGGTGATGGGTTAGGGGGGGGGGGGGCCGAGGGGTGGAGGGGGAGGGGAGGGGGGGGGGGGGAGGGGGGAGGGGGGGGAGGAGAGGGCTGCTCGTTTCGGGAAGGGGCCTGCCCGGTTTGATGCCCGAAAGGCCTGGGAGGTTGAAGGATCAACAGATCTGTCGATCCAGGGGATCCGGATTGAGGGATTGAGAGATTGAGAGGTCTTTCAATCTGGAGGATCGGACATGGAAGGTTGAAAGATCTTTCAATTTACAATGTCCAGATTGAAAGAATGAAATCATGAAACCGTATTATATTGCAATCCGCCACCCTGAGGGACGAAGATCCTGCTGGAGCGCTCCTGCATTTTTTCATCCAGGATCATCGGATTGAAAGGTCGTTCAATATGTAAATGATAGAGTCTAGATCATTCAATCTGGATTGCAAGATCTTTCGATCTTTCAAAGATTTCTTCACTCAGGGACCTCATATTAAAAGATCTTTCAATGTTTCAATCTTTCCGTCGGCGCACACACACCACCGAATCGATCAATCCGCGCCGACAGAAACGAAACCCTTTCAATCTCTCAAGTCTTTCAATAGTTCAATCCCTGATCGAGCCCCTCTGCGAAAAGCAAGCGAAGGGGAGAAGATGGGAGAAGGAGGAGGACAAGGACGAGGAGGAGGAGCGATGACGCGGGGGAAGACGGAGGAGGAGGAGCGGGGAGGGAGGAGGAGGAGGAGAGAGGAAGGAGAGAGAGCAGAGGAGGAGGGGAGGAGGAACGGAGGAGGAAAGGAGGAGGCGGCAGGATGAGGGAGTCGGAGGAGGGTGGGGATGAGGAAGGAGGAGGAGGAGGAGGAGGGGGAGGAGAAAGGGGAGGAGGAGGAGGAGGAGGAGGAGGAGGAGGAGGAGGAGGAGGCAGGGCGGCCTCGCGAGCCAGGCGGCTGGCGCGCTCCTCCGAACCTACGCCGGCAACGCCAGCCAGCACAACCTCCAGCTGGCCTTGGCGTCCGACGCCGAGGTGTTCCGCTATGACGCGGTGCTGCGCGGCTGCTGGGAGGAGCTCGCCGAGCGCCCTCTTGGGACTGAGGCGTGCGAGCTGCTGGGGCTGCCGGCGAAGCTGGGCGGCGCCGGCGCCCATTGGGCCGCCACCCGCCGTGCGGCCGCCTACTGGGCTGCCTGGACGCAGGCAGCCAACGAGGTGCGCGGCGGTACCCCGGCGATCGCCTGACGGCGTTCGTCGTGGAGTCCGCCGGCCGCCTGGGCGCTGAGGCGCGCCAGTTGCTGCTCGACCCCGCGGGCGACCTCCCGGAGCACCAGCGGGCGCCGGAGCTGGCGCGGGCCTACCGCGTGCTCAGCGCCGCGGTGCAGCGCAGCCAGGCGCGGCAGATGCGCCGCGCGGCTGGGCTCCGCTGAGCGCTGCGCGGGCCGCCGCGGCCGGGTCGCGGGCGCGGCGGCGGCGGACGCGGCGAGGCAGGCGCGGCGGCCGGCCCAGAGCACGGCGCGGCGGCCTGCGCGGCCTGCGCGGCCTGCGCGGCCAGCGCGGAGCCGGCGAGCAGGCGCCGCGCGGACTTAGCATTCCGTGTAGTGTTGTCGCGGCGCAGCCGTCGCCTGGCGGTGGGAGGGGCGGTGCCATGGAAGAGGCGCCCTGGCGGTGGGACTTTGCGCCTGGCGTTGCTCCTCACCGCCGTCGCGGAGGCAGGGCGAGGAGGCAGGGGCGAGGAGGCAAGGCGAGGAGGCAGAAACAGGCAGGAGGAGGCAGTAGGCGGAGGAAGTGGGGGGGAGAAGGAACGAGGCGGACGAACGGCTTCCCTCCACTCCCTCCCCTCCTCCTCCTCCACCTCCTCCTCCTCCTACTCCTCGCTCCTCCTCCTCCTCTCCCTCCGCCTCCTCCTCGGCGACGCGAGGCGACGGCGACGCAGCGGCGGCGGCGGCGGCGCGCGGCGGCGGCGGCGAGCGCGACGACGACGACGACGACGCGACGCGAGCGGCCTCCCAGGCGTTGCGCCGACTAGCTTGGGCCCTCTCCCTCCGCGTCGGGCCTGCCGTCCTGCGGGGCCGCGCCCTGCCCAGCGACCTGCGCACGAGCGCCTCGCCGCGGGTCTGCAGCGGCGCGGCTCCGTCGTCGGTCAGTCGTTGTTTGGCGGGCGGCCTCTCCTCCTCCGTCCTCTCTCCTCCTCCGCCTCCTTCGTCCCTCCTCCTCCTCTCCTCCTCCCTCCTCCTCCTCCTCCGCCTCCGCCTTCGCCCTCTCCTCCCTCCTCTCCTCCTCCTCCTCCTCCTCCTCCTCCTCCTCCTCCTCCTCCTCCTCCTCCTCCCTCCTCCTCCTCCTCCTCCTCCTCCTCCTCCTCCTCCTCCTCCTCCTCTCTCCTCCGCGGTGGCGGCGGCGGCGGCAGGCGGGCGGCAGACGGGCGGGCGGCGGGCGGGCGGCAGGCGGGCGCGCAGCGGCAGGCGACGTGCGCGTCGAAAGCTGGAGCCGACTCGGCATCGGGGCGCACCTCGGGGTACGAATCGAGGGCGTCGGGCGGGCTGGCCGCGGCCGCGGGCGGCTGCACGGCGGGGAATGTGGAGGGAAGGAGAGGGGGGAGGGACAAGGGGGGAGGAAGAGGATGAGGCATCATGGGAGGAGGGATGGGACATCATGGGGAGAGCGGTGGAGCGGGAGGGGAACATAATGGGAGAGGGCGGGAGGACAGCCTGAGAGAGCAGTGAGGAGGCGTAGGAGGAGGACATGATACGTAGACTACAATTTGAAAGCTCGCAGAGTCCTGATCGCGACATCTGCCTCGCTACGTCGCTGCACGCACCACATCCTACAAATCGAGTCGCGCCAGGACCCTGAGGCGGGCCCGTACGAGCCCCATGACCACAATCGAAGGCGAACGATCGCACACCCCAGCAAGGGCACTGCCCCGTCCGACACCCACAGTGGGCACGCAGCCTGGAGGAGGGGAAGGAGGAGGAGAAAGGAGGAGGAGGAGGAGGAGGAAGGGAAGGGACAAGGAGGAGGGGGATAAGCAGAAAGAGGGAGATGAGCAGGAGGAGGTCAGCATGGGGGTGGAGCCAGCGTGAGGGCGAAGCTCTTCGTGCTCATCCTCAGGTCCCCTTCCCTCCCTCCATCCTTCCAGCCTATCTCCCCATAACTCTCCCTGCTCCTCCTCCTCCTCCTCCTCCTCGTCCTCCTCCTCCTCCTCCTCGTCCTCTTCCTCCTCCTCCTCCTCCTCCTCCTTCTCGTCCTCCTCCTCCTCCTCTTCTTCCTCCTCCTCCTTCTCCTCCTCCTCCAGTCCTTCTCTTTATAGAGAACTCCGCCCTGTCGCACCCCGACGCCAATGTTTAGGGCGGGCCGGGCGTTTCGCCTCAGACTTCCTCACCATTTATCACTCTGAAGCTTGAAGGGTGACAACAGATTCACAGATGGAGGGCGGGCCGTTTTCAAAATGTGGCTCTCGCCTTAGCGCCGCGCACATTCGTTGTAGAACAATTGCAAGAGTTTCGCGGGTTGAGAGTGGGTGGTTTTCAAAATGTGGCGCTCGCCTTAGCGCCGCGCGCACTCGCCTTAAACATTTGCAAGAGTTTCACGGATTGAGGGCGGTTCCTTTTCAAAATGTGGCTCTCGCCTTAGCGGCGCGCACATTCGTTTTAAACATTCGCAGAAGTTTCACGGATGGAGGGCGGCTCCTTTCAAAATGTGGCTCTCGCCTTAGCACCGCGCACATTCGTTTTAAAACTTTGCAAGAATTTCACGGGCTCCCATGATCAACGTACCAGATGGTGTTTTGGAAGGATTCGATTAATTATGTTGATTCGCTGTGTTGAAGTCCCCAAATGGTATTCTGGCACGATTCTGGATCGTCAAGACGCAGCAGTCAGGTTGATACGTTGCGATGGAATCCCGAGAACAATGTTTTGCCACGCTTCAGGATCTTCAAACTGTTGTCTTCCATCGAGGCAGCTCCCTCAGTGGAAATGAATCGTTGTAGGGGCCTATGAAGAGGGAGCTTGGAGGGAGGGTTAATTCCAACATCGTTGATGACTCTTGGGTTTCCACTGGTCCTCCTCCTCCTCCTCATCCGCGCCGCCGTCCTCATTATCGCCCTTCTCGTCCTCCTCGTCCTCCCCGTCGTCGTCACTCTCCTCACTCCTCCCCTTCTTCCTCCCCGCCTGGTCGCCTCCCTCCTTCGTCCTCCTCCTTCTCCTCCTCCTCCTCCTCATCCGAGGGGCCTCCAGGTCCGCTTCCGTGGTGTCCGCGCCCACCTCTACCGCGCCAGACCCGAAGAACTCCAGGGTCCAGGTGCCGCCCTCGAGGTTGCCGGGACCTCGCTGCCGCGGCCGTCGTCGTCGTCGTCGTCGCCGTCGTCGTCGTCGTCGTCGTCGCCGTCGTCGTCGTCGCCGTCGTCGTCGCAATCGTCCTCCTCGTCCATCCCGCCCTCCTCTTTCCTCCTCCCCTCCTCCCTCTCTCCTCCTCCCTCTTCTTCTACTCCTCGTCCTACGCCTCCCTCGCTCCCGCCCTCCCCGGCCTCGTCCGCCACATCCACCCCTCCTCCTTATGACTAAATCCACCAATACACTTGGGCTGAACCGGGCGATTTTGCATGTTTTTGCAGGAAACTTCCTTACAGATTGCCATCCTGTGGCTCAACATAAGTAGACCTACAGTCAACCCGAATAATAAGGACGCACGATAAGGATGCACTGGCCTTGGAAGGCCATGTCGACACTTTGCGGGCGGGGCGCGGCCAGCGAAAGCGGCCAAGGATGGGCCGAAGGGGAAGGATGCAAGGGTAACCCTGGAAAGTTGCTCATCCTTATTATGCGGGTTGACTGCATGCAGGGCGAATCGTTTTCAGAATGCGGCTCTCTCGCTGTAGCGCCGTGCACTTTCGCTTCCGACGAAAAACAACTGCAATGCGATTAAAGGGCCAGTGCGTTTTCAAACTGCGGATTTCGCCTTAGCTTCGCTAGCTTAATTTTTGTTGTTCGTACTTTCAATGGTGGAGGCTGGCACGTTTTTTTTCAAATGCTGGTCCCGCGAGGGACTTTCTCGAGATCGACCACCCGAAACGAAACCCTGTGCAATGGTTACACGAGTGGAGGGCCACTCGTTACAAAGTCTCGCTTGAGACCTCCGCAGAGAAAAGGGTCCATTATTTCTGAGTGCTTGCAGGGCTTTCACGGGGCGGGTCGGCGGAGGCGGCTGTCGCTGGAGACCCCTGTTAACTTGATCGTCATACCTCGTTGTGTAGTTTATGTCGAAAGATTGACGGTGAATCCTCTTCAGAACGGGGCCTCGGCCGAGTGGCAGGCCCAAGTGTAGGGAGTGCTCGCCGCGGTGACATCCCAGGGAGGACTTGGAACGGGGGGTATTTTGCAGCGTCGTTGATGCATCCTGGGTCCACGATGGTCCTCTCCTTTCTCCTCATCTTCCTCCTCCTCGTCCTCGTCCTCCTCCTCCTCGTCCTCGTCCTCCTCCTCCTCCTCCTCGTCCTCCTCCGTCTCCCCCTTTTCATCGCCATCACCCTCCTCCCTCCTCCTCTTCCTCCTCTTCCTTTTCTCCTCCTGATCCTCCTCCTCCTCCTCCTGCTCCTCCTCCTCCTCCTCCTCCTCCTCCTCATCCCCTACCCACGCCTCTCCCTCATCCTTCCGCCTCTCCCCTCCCTCGTCCTCCTCCTCGTCTTCCTCCTCCTCCTCCTCGTCCTCCTCCTATTTCTCTTCCCTCCTCCTCCTCCTCCTCTTCCTCCTCTTCCTCCTCCTCTTCCTCGTCGTCATCCTAGAACTCTCCCCTCCCTTCCCACGCCCTCACTCCTCCCCCCCTGCCTCTGTACAGGTCGAGGTAAACGTACAGCAGGTGCGTCGACCCCTCGGCCAGCACGATGTGCGGAAGGAACACTGACTCCTTGGAGGTTTCCTCCAGGACTGTCCTGCGAGATCGCCCAGGTGGGTAGAGATAATTCGTGTTTTCTGTTGGGGGCGGGGGCGGAATGGGAAACGTGTCTGTGTGTTGTTGGTGTTGAAAGTCTTCGTGGTCTAACCGCTCAAGGGAATGCCCAGGATGGGAGGGCAAGAGAATTGCCGAAGAAAGATTGGGAGGTGCAAGAGTGAGGAGAATGAGGGAGAGGCACAGGGTTTGCACATGAGGCGGTGGGCTCTGGGGATGGGATGGGGGCGGATGAATGATGATGATGATGAGGAAGAAGGGTGGAGGGGACGAAGATGTGGGGGGGGGAAGGGAAGAAAAACAATATACCAAGACGACGAAGAACACGAATCAACCTCTAGTGAGGGGGTGAGATCGCGGTGCCGCGTATCCGCGGGGCGGCGTCGCGCGGGGCGGGCGTCGGCGCGGCGACGTGAACGGGAGGTAGGGGTAAAGGAGTAGAGGGGGTTGGAGGGAGGGGCGGGGGGTTTGGTGGGAAACGGAGATGAGGGAGGGGGGAGGGTGGGGGGGACCAAAAAGCCCCCCCTCCGGAAATCGATTTCGGTTTCGTGTTCGTGCGTGCCGTGCGTGCGGGGGAAGGGGGCGGGATGTGGGGGGCGTTCGGGTCGGGTCGGACGGGGGGGGGGGGGGCGGGCGGGAGCGGGAGGAGACAGGTGGAGGCGAAGCTGCGTGGGCGGGCGAGCAAGGTGCGGGGGGAAAGTCTCCTGTGGCTGAGGCGCGGCCGGACCAAATGATTCTCCACCGGGCGGCCGGTGGCGCGCGGTGTCCCGCCGGTGTCCCGGTGGTGTCCTCTGTGGCTGAGGCGCGGCCGGACCAAATGATTCTCCACCGGGCGGCCGGTGGCGCGCGGTGTCCCGCCGGTGTCCCGTCGGTGTCCCGTCGGTGTCCCGATGATGATGAGGATGTTGATGATGATGATGGTGATGATGTTGATGGTGCTGATGATGATGATGGTGATGGTGATATCGATAGAGAGACAAAATGTGATATCGATAGTGAGACCGAATGTGATATCGATAGTGGAATCGATAGTGAGACCGAAAGTGAGATTGATTGTGAGATCGATTGTGAGATCGATAGTGAGATCGATTGTGAAATCGATTGTGATATCGATAGTGAGACCGATTGTGAGACCGAATGTGAGATCGATAGTGATATCGATGGTGAGATCGATAGTGATATCGATAGTGAGACCGAATGTGAGATCGATGGTGAGATCGATAGTGATATCGATAGTGAGATCGATAGTGAGACCGAATGTGAGATCGATAGTGAAATCGATAGTGAGACCGATTGTGAGATCGATTGTGAGATCGATTGTGATATCGATGATGAGATCGATAGTGAGACCGAATGTGAGATCGATTGTGAGATCGATAGTGAGATCGATAGTGAGATCGATAGTGAGACCGAATGTGAGATCGATAAGGAAATCGATAGTGAGACCGAATGGGAGATCGATTGTGAGACCGAATGTGAGATCGATAAAGAAATCGATAGTGAGACCGAATGGGAGATCGATTGTGAGATCGATAGTGAGACCGAATGCGAGATCGATCGTGAGATCGATAGTGATATCGAGAGTGAGATCGATCGAGTGCGACGTTGGTCCCTCCCCCCCCCTCACCTCCTTATCACCCGAAGGGTGGTCGTATAGGTAGCAGGAGGTATGAGGCAAATCAGAAGGAGAAGACACTTCCTTTGGGGGCCAAGCCGTCCTCGGGGTTCAAATGCTCAAGGGAGTGCCCTGGATAAGGAATGCGAGATTGCATAAGCAGGAGGGTGAGGAGGAGCCCACGCCACTGAGGGGGGAGGCGAACGTCGTTGTCTAGGCCGCGCTCGCCGCGCTGCCGTCGGCCCCCGCGGGGCCTGGCCTCAGGGGCACCTCGACGGAGGGCACCTGGTCGAAGGTGTGCTCGAAGAAGTCGTTGGTGTCGTAGCCGCCGCCAATCTCGAAGGCGACGCCATCATCGGAGGTCACGGGCAGGCCAGCGTTGCAGGCGGCACCATCAGCACCCGCAGGGCCCATGCCAGTCGTAAGTGTAGCCGAAGAGGCAGGGCGAGTGCCAGCAGCCGCGCCCTCGCCAACGGACATCTCACTCGCGTTGACGTGACGGTGCAGGTCGTCAAACCGCTGCGCTTCACGAATGTCCTCCAGAAGCTCGGGGTGCAGCTCATCCTCGTATTCGTCGCTGCTGGTTGCCACCTCCGCGAGAAGAGTGGTATGCTCAGGATCAGCATCATGGTCTTGTCCCTCTTGTTCAGCAGCATGAAGAAGAAGTGCGTCAGCTTCAGCGTCAGTGTGATCATCTCCGTCGCCATCAAGAGGAATGGGAGACATCTTTCCAGACCAGTCAGAGCCAGCTTCTGGCAGCGTAACAGGCTAGGTAAGCAGCCAACTGACGAGCTCGCGATGGCTGGCGGAGAGCAAGAAAATAGAGTCCATGTGCTGGACAACGGCCGCCATCTGCTCAGGCGAGAGCTCGTCGGTGTGCGCCGCGCTGCCTTTTCCGCTTTCACTGATCGTCTGGATTTCCTTTTGGATCTCCATGCAGAGGAACTTGAGCGAGGCTGGCAGCTGGTGGAGAGTGTTGGTATCGCCGTCGTCGTCTGTGCCTGCCCCGACTCCCATCCGCCCAGTGAAAGCAGCAGTGGGACCCAACCCCGCATGTCCAGTGCCAGCAGCAGCGGGACCCAGCACATGCGCCTCTTGTACAGCACGCTCCTAAGATGGAAGGGGTACTGCAGCATGTCCAGCAAAGTCCGAAGGAAGCTGATCCACAGGCGGAACAGGGAGCTCGCGCGGAACAGCATCGTCAGGTGGTACCTGAAGTCCAGGTGGATTGGGTTGCGCTGGTGGCGCAGGGGGTCCAGGCGGTTCTCGATGTCCGTGATTGCTGCCTGACTTCAGGTGTTCTACGACGGAGGGCACTTGGTCGGAGGTGTGCTCAACGAAGTCTTTGATGTCGTAGCTGCTGCCACCGCTCCAGAAGGCGACGCCAACCAAGGAGGTACAGGGCAAGCCAGCGCTGCAAGCGGCATCATCAGCACCAGTGGGGCCCACGCCAGTCGCATGTGAAGCCGAGGATGCAGGACGGGTGCAGGCAACCGCGCCCTCGCCATCAGACATCACTTCCACATCGACGCGATCGTACCGGCCGTCAATCTGCTCCGTTTCACGAAAGCCCTCCATCAGCTCGGGGTACTGCTCATCCTCGGAGTCGTCGATGCCAGCAGCCACCTCCGCGAGAAGAACGCCATTCTCAGGCTCCTCATCGTGATCTTGTGCCTCATGTTCAGCGGCGAGAAGTAAAAGTGCGTCAGCTTCAGCTTCTGGGTGATCGTCTGAGACGATCACGGCCAGCGTTTTATTGTCACGTTTCAGCCAGCGTTTTATTTTCACGTTAAACAGCGTCTTCTTGGTAGGGACGGAGACGATTCGTCTCCGTCCCTACCAAGAAGAAAAGGAGACACCAGGCCAGACGAGTCAGAATCAGCTTCCAACAGCGCGCCAGGATGGGTGGGCAGCCAAAGGACGAGCTCGCGATGGCGGTCGGAGAGCGAGAAGTCAGAGCCCATGTGGTGGGCTGCGGCGTCCATCTGCTCAGGTGACAGCTCGTCGGTGAAAGCTCGTCGGTGTGCTAGGAGGGTGAGGAGGAGGAGGAGGAGGAGGAGGAGGAGGAGGAACGGGGATGTTCTTCTGGGGGGGCAGAAGGTTCCCAGGGCGTCTAGACGTTCCAGGGAGTGCCCGGGGAGGGGAGGGCAGGAATAAGGATGAAGAGGAATAGGAGGCACAGCGACGCGCCAGGGGGAGGAGGACCCCAGGACCCCCTTACATTCGCGGCGGGCAGAGGAGGAGGAGGCCGGAGACGACGAGGAGGACGAACGGAAGGACGACGAAGAGAAGGACAAGGACGAGGAGGACAAAGACGAGGAGAACAGGAGGAGGACGAAAACGTTGAGGAGGACGAAGACGACGAGGACGACGAGGAGGATGAGCAGGAAGAGGACCCCCTCGTCCTGCAGCACTTCAGCCAATTGTTCCTCCCGCCGTACTGCTTCGGATCGACCTTCGCGCCAGCCTGACGGGGCAGCGCGGGCATCCTCCCCATCCACGTCGTCCTCCCCTCCCCTCTCCTCTCCCTCCTGCTCCTCCTCCTGCTCCTCCCTCCTCATCATCCCTCCTCATCCTCTGTCCTCCCTCCCCGTGTTCATATTCCTCCTCGTCATCCTCCCTCATTCTCCTCATCAGCAGCACCACCACAATCATAGTCATCATCCTCATCATCCTCATACTCATTGTCTTCATCAACACCGTCATTTCTCATCGTCATCGTCGTCGCCATCATCGTCAGCAGCACTATTAGCACCGCCATCCTCATCCTGCGGCTGATCATCATCATCATCATCATCATCATCATCATCAGCAGCAGCAGCAGCAGCAGCATCGTCATCATCATCACCACCATCATTATCAGCATCATCACCATCAGCAGCATCATCAGCATCATCACAATCAGCACCATCATCATTATCATCAGCAGCATCATCAGCATCAGCATCAGCATCATCCTCATCAGCACCATCATCATAATCATAATCATCATAATATGCAGCATCTCCAGCACCATCATTCTCAACAACAACAGCATCATCATCATCACCATCACCATCGCCATCACCATCATCATCATCATCATCATCAGCAGCAGCATCATCATCACCACCATCATCAGCAGCAGCATCATCATCATCATCAGCAACATCCGCATCAGCATCCGCATCCGCATCAGCATCATCATCAACATCATCATCAACATCATCAGCATCATCAGCAGCAGCAACAGCAGCAGCAGCGTGATCATCAGCACTGTCATTATCAGCACTCTCATATCACCATTTCCACCATCGAGGTCACCACCATCGAGGTCACCACCATCATCATCATCATCATCATCATCATCATCATCATCATCATCATCATCATCATCATCATCATCATCACCATCACCATCACCATCACCATCACCATCACCATCATCATCATCATCATCATCATCATCATCATCACATTCCTCATCCTCATGACTGGTACCTCTGGGGCAAGCGTGGGCAGGCCTGTGGGGGGGCGAGCAGGCAGGTCACCTGGACGGGAGGGGAGAGAAGGACGGCCAGTGGAGAAGAGCAGGGGGACGCGGAGCGGGAGGGGCGGAAGAGGAAAAGGAGGAGGGTAAGAGAAAGGAGGAGCGGGGGAGGGAGAGGGAGGGTGAAGAGGTGGACCCCCCTGGGCCAGAACTGTTGTGCCGTCGTCGCATGTGACCTCGCTTGGGGAATCGGTGATAAGCAAGAGGGGAGGAGCATGATCAGCAGGATCTGAGTATCATGTGGCCCCAGCGACTGCCAAAAGCAGAACCACGAAGACGGCGGGCACGCACCGCGCGCTGGCACTCTCTGCGTCGGACGCTTGACGCCGACCAGGAGCATCGTCCAATGCCTCAGTCTGTGTCCGCGTTCTCCCCGTTTCTCATCCTCGTCGTCCTCCTCCTCGTCCTCCTCCTCCTCGTTCCAAGGAGGTGGCCTGGCCGCTGCACACACGGCTGAACTCCCACGAGGAACATGCGGAGACCACCTGCTGGACACACGTGTGGAAGGTCACCGTGCCTGGCCGTCCGAGGGCGCCCTGGAAAGGTGCGCGGCCAAATGTCATTCCAGCTCTCCCCCAGGGTGGCTACGCCACATGCTGGCACGACCGAAATGGGTACGACAAAATAGGTACAATGCCCATCAGCTACCGCTGCCCAAAACCGACAGCGGCCGCTCCTGGGCAGGCGATTTCATGTCTCAGATTGACAACGCCCGCGGCGGCGCACCGACAGCAAGCCCTGCTCAAAGTGGACAGGACCTCATGTCGGCGCCCGTCGCCATGAGCGCGCTTCTTTGCTTTCGGCGATGACGGACGTCATGGGGGCTGGGTGGGTGTGGGGGGAGTATGACATGAGGCCCCCCCACCCACCGTGTGGCTCCGGCACCACAGCGGGGCCCGCGCGCACGACGACGACG